GGTATGTTGTGACGAAACCTAAGAAATAATTTAAGAGTCACATGAGAGAGAGGTCAGATTGTAATTAAAAGGAAAGTGAATCAATAAACATGTTTTTCTAAGATGCACCGACTTTATGTATAGCATATCCTTTACAATGATGAAAAGGTATGGAGGCATTTAAATGCAAAGATAATTTATCTGTTACACAGGTATGTTAGTGCCACTTCCCTGTCCAGCTAATGCACTTAATGATGCAGCTCAATACATGTTTTTCCAGTTTTATTGTTTTTTTTAAAGTAAACTTTGATCTTCCATCAACCTTTTATTTGTGGGGCATTAGGGATTCCTGCAGGGTCTTCAGTCTTCCCCTGAAAAGAGAGGAAAGTCTCCATTGTTTTGTTTTTTTTTACTGTTAAATCGGTGTGTCACACAAGTCCTTAAGCATCCGAAGCATGAACAAGCATAATACTGTAAAAGCAGCTTTATTTCATATAATTGGATCCAGATTTCAGTTACCTGCCTGATGCTCAATCTAGCTTTCCCTTCACTGGAGATCTGTTTTTCCAAAACAGTGGGAGGCTTCCAGCAAGCATTAGGTTTAGATGGGTCGAGGTTTTCGATCCAAACCTTATCTCTGTCCTGTATTATCTACTATTAAACACTGATCGTATACTGGATAATGTTGTTTTTTTAGTAGGGGACTACAGGCTTGAAAGGTGGAACTGCCATAGGTAACTGAAGAGTTCCCAGATAGAGAAAGGTATTATATAGGTAGTGTTCACATGTATCAGGAATTATTTGTGTATTTTTTTCCCTATCCCGTGTTCAGTAACCGTATCTGTCACTTCTGTCATAAAGGGTGTTGAAGCCCGTGATGACTGACACACAGTGGAAACTGGGGCTTGTGCTACAGTTTACCTGCTGTCTTTATGTGCTGCTTGGTTTCCAGTTGGGGTTGAAATGGCTCTTTAGCGGCTCCCAGCATTTGTAGTAGTTCTTATCCAGGCGGTTACAGGTGTCCAGGCCCCACTTTGTGACTGCCATGCTGAAGGACGACTCAAACATAAACGCCTGAGAACACGGGAGTGACAAGATCGATCTTAACACTGTGACCCGAGGAGCTCAGGTGAGGGGGAACAGGGGGAGCTAACTCTGCACTCTGCGTTTGAGGTTTTAATCAGAATTCAAAAGCACTCTGGCACCAAACTGACAGTACGGAAGACAGACTGTTTGCACTATCATGCAAAGATCATTTCAAAAGAAATGCAAAGCAAACATTGTTGATCTTCTAGTCCTTATCGTGCTCCAAGGCCCGCTGAACAGAACCGCTTTTACCATAGTGCCTTCAGCCACTCGCTCAGGCTTCAAGTCAGCTGTGCTTGCTTTCTCAAAGCACTCGTAATCCGGGCCGTGTGGGGTCATCATGCTGTGAAGACTGCCCCCTCCTGGCTGGAAGCCTTCCTCCTTGGCCTCGTAGTGGCCTTTGATCAAGCCCATGAACTCACTCATGCAGTTCCCTAAGACAAAGTGCAAGTATTGATGGTAAGTGAATATTCCAAGTCAATTCATTACCAGCCTCTTAAGAAAGAAGAATAGAGCTGAACGTCAAAAAGCTAAATCTTTTGCACTATTATGAAAACTAACTCAAGACTTAAATTAAGCGCTCAATCATTTAAAAGCCTTTTAAGAACTGCCTGAAAACTATTACACATGAAAACTACGAGACAGATGTGAGGCTTCTTGGCCAGGTGTGGCGACTTGACCACCTGGCTGGTGACCTTAAAGACTGTCTCCAAGAACGGCTTCCCTCTTTATCTGGACCGTTCCACTGACTATTGAAGCAGAGCATGTCATTCGCTGGGCTACTCTGTGATCTGCTCTCAGGCGGGCCATCTTCAGTCATGCTTATACCAGCCTGTCTGGCTCCAGTTCTCGAGTGAAGCATGGCTGTATCTTTCACCATTCTTGCATTAGTTAGAATCATTGCATTTAAAGTGCCTGGTTAATAATATTCTCATTCGGCTCCGTTCAGCAAATATCAGACACTTTGCACCTGATGGGCTTGTAAAATCACGTAGCGTAAGCCGAGTAGTTTGCTATCCCAAGTAAGCAACACTCAACAATAGTTATTAAATCTGTCTAAAAGTGTAAAATGTTTGTGCCGGTAGAGTTGTTGCTGTCGGCGAGTCACAGGCCCACTGCTGGGCAGGTGGCGGCAGTAGGAATACAGGACCTTTGCCGATTGAGAGGTTGTAAACGTGCGACTGGTAACCCAGAACACTGATCTGCTCCTGGCCAGACCTGCACTCCCCCCCCCAGCCCGGATCTTACTGTGATAATAGGGGGGCCTGAAAGTGTGGTCCGCCACGCCCCAGCGGGGGGGGAAGATGACGAAGTCGGCGACAGCCACGCCCGGGCGGGTCGACTTCGCCGTCAGCACGGTGAAGATGGACGGGTCCTGCGAGACAGTGGAGAGGACAGTCGGATCGACTCCCGCGTCACGGACCGGTACGTCAGAGCAGCTGGGCCTGCAGCACCCCACTGCTCGAGCAGCGCTCCTGCGGCCCAGCCCGGAGCCATCGGACTGTCCCCACTCACACCTGTGTGTTCGTGCTCGGCTGGCAGGGTGCAGGGCAAGCTGACACAACCTGTCTGAATCCAGGCCACCAGGATTCAATTCCAGTCCATCTCATTTCAAAATGCCATTCAATTCTTCAAGTATTCCTGGCATTCCATTCAGTTTAATACTCCCTTTATATTGTACACATCTGGAGGAGCACAGCACGACACAGTATCTTCTGCATTCGTTTGGTCAAGTTGGTTTTGTGTTCTTGCTGCTTACCGCATGGTCGAAAGCGACGCAGTTGATCACCATGAAGTTCTCGAGGTTGTATTTGTACGGGGTGTAGTTTCCATGCCACGCCACAACATTGAATGGGGAAAAATCCTGCAGTAGGAAACAAGCACACACATTCCATGAAATACAAACTAGTTACTAAAGGGAAAACAATGGGCACACTTAAGCATTCATTTCTGACTATGCCCATAACTATCTGCCCCAAAATCAAGCTACTCCTCCCACAAAGAAAACCAGACTACGACAGAGCTAGAATGACTAATGTTTCTCTCTAACCTGATCGTTACAACTGCAGCAATTTTATGTCACCACAAAGCACTGTTCAATAAAAGCTGTAAAATCAATTTTATTCATTACTTGCCAAAGACTGAAGCCCCACACTCCTGCACATGCAAGCACACAGGGCTACACCCTACAGTGGTGCCCAGCTGACTCCCGAGCCAGGATTCCCACAGCTTTAAACCGCCAGCCCGATGAGCCCAATACATCAGCCCAGCGAAGCAAAATAACAGGTTAATTTCAGCAATTCGGGGCTCAGCTGGAGAAAGAAACAGAAGACTCTTCCAGCCCCAAGCTCTGAGCTTGGGCAGCCTGTCCTTATCCCAGGAAAGCTGTGGAGCAGGAAGCAGGGCGAGAGACCTGCCCGGATTCTGCCCCAAGCAGTGCTTCCCGAAACTGGTTCACCGGGATCTTCCAATCACAGACAGGATGAGATCCTCGGGTCGCTAAACCACCCAGCCAGCCCACTGGAGCCAGCAGCCTACTCCACTGGTGGTCCCAGGTTTGGCTCTTTCTGTCTGAGGTGCACGTACTGGGCAGGAATAAGGCCTCCCGCTCTTGACCGCTGCCGATTCTCAGGGGGTCCAGCAGGTATGCTTACCTGCTGGGCTGCGAACAGTTTTCCCTGGTACTTATTAATGACCGTATACCCGCCGGGCACCTTCCGGTCCTCATACCAGGCCACGGGCGCCAGGAAGTCCCGAGGGTTGGCCAAGCCATTGGCACCTGCAGAACACATGGTGTGACAGTCTGGCACCCTTCACCACCTGCTCCGTAAGAGGAAATGTGCCGTTTAAAAACATCTGGCTTTTCATTTCTAGTGGGATTCCTGCAAAGTGCGCGATTTCAACCAGTTTGATGTCGGAGCTGCTGACTGCATGCTCCTCTTACCAGGATGACATGAGGACGGGCCTCGCACCCGGAGCGCAGCCAGGAGACAAGAGACGCACCCCCAGAAGCTTCCAGGTCCGAAGGTTTTAAATACCAAAGCCTTTTTACTTACCAATAGGTCCGAGATCTGGCAGTTCAAAGTGGGCACCGAACACCTCCAGGACGTAGCCCCTTGTCGCCCCAAACACCTCCACACTGAAACGCATCCCTTGCTAGAAAAGCCATGAGAAACAGCACAGCGTCTGCAAACCTCAGGTCTCATGTCCTGTAATTTCCTGTCATGTGTTTCACTGGCCAGCTAGCAGGGCCAAAATCATCTCCAGCAAAACAAATGAAGGATCACAATTAAATCTACTGCCTGGGAAACACTTGAAGGAAGTGGATGTTTTTGTGGATGTAGTCTTTACCACAATTTGCCGATGTTTTTTATGGACTGTGTGTTTTGTAAGTGTTAATCTTATACTTTATCTGGGCATAAGATTAACAGTTAGTGATTTAACATACAACATTTCATACAACAGTGCCTATTTCAGAAAGGTAATAGAAAAAAGGCGAATATTGGTCATCCAATTCTAAATCTCAGTGGGTGTGTAGAGGAACAGAAACAACGTGAACAGGAATACGGTCCCCGTGCACAGCGGCCAACGCCGTTCCCGAAAAATAACATCTGGAAAAAATTCCCGGTTCCTCTGGACTTTGACTCTTGGAACGCGTACAGCAGGAGAAGACTTGTGTTTCCACTTACCTGGATAACACAGATCTCATTTGGCTCCATCATCATCTTTCCAAATTCCGTTGTGATCAATATTTTACCTTGCTGAGGAACTGGACAAAAAATACATTTTCATTTTGAATTCATTGTTCAGAGCACAACTGATGATCGTGAAGCAGTGGTTAGATAAACCCATCTCCAGTGCACCCGGAGTTTTTTTTTACCAACACCCTGTATTTAACGTAGGGAGGGAGTGTGTCCAAAAACTTACAGTGCAAGTTACTATATAAAACACATTTCTATAAAATAGTAGAAACAAAATACTACTTACCGATTAGAAAATCCCCATCAGAATTATTGAAACACCTGAAAAGAAGTTACAGTTAATATTTGTGTACGCGAGAGGCAGGTGCTGTGGGAAGTACAGGACTTGTGCATACGGATGAGAAACATTGGGAAGCTGTGCAGCTCAAGAGAACAGCGATACATTAACAGTTTTATACATCCATCTATTTTTAATAACTGTGCTGATCCGGAGCCTGGTCCATCTTACACTGGGCATACTACAGCGTACACCCTGGAAAGGACACCAGTTCAGACACACAGGGGATAATTTAGGGACACCAGTTAACCTAGACAGAATGACCTTGGCCAGTGGGAGGAAGCTGGAACACCTGGAGAAAATCTAAAAGGCCATGAGGAGCACATGCAAACTCCACACAGAAAGTACTGCAGACCCGAATCAGCCCGAGAACCCACGTCTTGCTGGAGGAGAAGCTTAAACTGCTACGCCAATGTGCCACCCCAGTTTTGAACATGGGAGCACGGAACACTGATCGCTGTCAAGATCAGTGAACCTTTCACCAGCCTTGGCCCCATTACATTGCAGGTACAGAGCAGTGGAGCACATGGCACACCGACACTCACCTGTCGGTCATAGAGCTGTTGCAGGCGTAGACGTGAACTGCGATCCCGTTCCGGGTCCTGGTGTCCCCTGCCCCACACAGGGTGTGCAAGCCCTGAAAGGGGAAGGCGTGCAGCGATTGCACACTAGGTCGAAAACTGGATGAAATGCAGACTTGCAGGAAACTAAAAAAGCACGAGGTTCACATCCGCTTGTAAACAGTGAATTGCGCTTAAGCCGATAGCACTCTGTCCACCTGTTTAACCTGCTCACCACAGGGCAGCGTGGGCACCATATTCAGAGTGGTCGCCATGTCAACTGCTTCTCTCTGAGAATAAGCTAACAATTTCCCCCTGTGTCCATTATGATGCGGGCAGTTTGTATTGGTATTTGTGTCAGATGGGTACAAACACTCTGCCCTGTGTTGATAACATGAAAACAAACTGGGAGCTTGCAGACCCACCATCACAAAGTCCACCTTCTTCTCAGACACTTTGGGGATAGTGAATGGCTGCCAACGAAGCTGTGAAAAGATAAAAGATTCGTTTTGAGACGTCGGGTATTCCTTCACGTCTCAGAAAAGCTGTAAACGAGGAGGCCGCTCGACCCACAGAGTCTGTTGCTGGCAGCTAATCGATCCAAGAATCTCATCCAGATGTTCCTTGAAAAACTCCAGGATATCAGCTCCTCAACAGCATGGCTGGGTAGCTTGTTCCAGTCTCCACAACCCTGTCTGTGTAAGAATATGCCTCCTGGTCTGAGGTCTGAAGCAGCTTGAAGACTACTGTTCTGAGGTAATGTATTTGAGTTTTGACTAGCTGTGCATTCAGATCAAATGTTTGCAAAGCAGCATCGTTACTGCCGTTTCAGAACAAGGAGTATTTTTCTACACTATATACAGTATATTGGTATATATATATATCGGTATTGGTACTACTGAATAAAAGCCAACTAATCAATGGCATTGTGGGATTAAAGTCTTGCAAAGGAACGTATAGAAAGACTGATCAATGTACTCTTGCCTGTGGTGTCCGGAGTGCATTCTGAGCTACAACCTGCACTGCTGCCACTATTGTCTTTCCTGGTCGAGGCCAGCATGACTGCAGATCAGGTGTGGCCTTACCTGGTTGGGATCGGGCTCTACTTCGTCCCAGCTGTGGGTCAGGTGTCCCTGCTGCACGGACGCGAAGGGCTTGTGGCACACCGAAGGCAGGATCCGATACAGCCAGCTGCAACGACACAGACCTCAGCACACATACAGCTGGTGCTGCTGCTGTAACACTGCGTGTGGCTCTAGTGCTGGCGTGGCCTTCACTGGACACTTGGCATGAGACACAGCCCAGAGGCATCTCCGAGCTGTCCAGTAATACCCTGCTGCCAATAGGCAAGACATGTCTTCTGCAGAGTCTCCAGCTCATCAGGAGAAATACTATACTGCACATTTCAATAACTGGATGAAACACCCACAAGGAACAAGGAAGGCAATACTGTAGATTGAAGAGACTTTTTCACACTGTTACACACAGTGTCCTACAAATCAGCCCGATTTCATTCGCTTGTGAAATAACAAAAAAAGTAAACTGGGTTATAAAGTATGGAAGATTAAAGGTGAAAAAATGAGTTAACAGTGTACAGCAAAGTTATCTTTTTTGAGAAACGGACAATGTGACGTCTGCATAATCATCTTGAAAGCCAGTAAATAAGCCCAGACACAATTCAGTGGCGTACTGCATTTACCCCACTGCTGCTTGCCCCATAGGGGGGTCATTAAACAAAAAGATTTGTCGCGCAGCAGGTACTCGGGTGGATCAGATCATGGATATCGACTGAGTTTCTGAAAAAAGACCTCTTTGTGTGGAAAGAGGAAGGTAATCAGGGCGATGCTCTTCCGCGAGACACACGTTTGCGAGCCAGCCTCAGACGGCGCTCTCTGAGCGTTACCTCCTCCTGTTGGCCGGCCGCGGGCAGGTGAAGGCAGACCCGGAGAGCTGCTCCGCGTACAGACCGTAGGGACAGGCCTGCGGGTTGTTCTGGGAAACAACAAGCCGAGAAAGAATTTCCGACAGTGATGCTCTGCGCCAGGCTGCAAGGTCACACTCACAGAAACCATAGAGCTCTGGCGGTCTGACTCGGAGCACTGAAAAGACTGTCATGTCTCCCTACGACAAACCGTTTAGCTCAGGCGGGGGGGGCTGAGGCTGGGGGGCATGATAAAGCAGAAGGTCGGTGCCGTGGGCTCAGGCCTTCAGTCGTGTGTTCAGTTCTGGGACAGAGAGCTTTCTGTGTGGAGTTTGCATGCTGTCCCTGTGTTCACACAGGTATCCCTAGAGCTGCACTGGTTTCCTCCCAGCTTTAAAGTCATGCTGGTTGGGGTCCGCACTGTCCCTGCGTCTCTGTGTCTGTCTGTCTGTCTGCCTGCGCAGCGTGTGACCAAGCCCTGCCCTCTGTGCTCTGGGCTGCTGTGACCTTCGGCAGGAATAAGCAGACAGACTGATAGGAGAATAAGAGACCAGGCAGAAGAAAAGGCTCGTTTTTACAAATACACATACAGATGATCCAGAAGCTATTTTGAAAAGCCATTTACACAAACATTTTGCGCCCTCTGAATAAAACGTTTATGAACAACAGCTCTGGTGCATTAGAAAATCATATTTTATTCGCTGTAGAAGTTATTTTTTCCACTACACCCCATAATTTATGGATGCAGCATAATCCTCAGATTTCAGCAGATCAAAAGCTCTGCATGTGTTTGACTCTCCATTTTGAACAGCAGTGCACAGGATACGAAGTCTGGGGTACCTGTCCTTCTGGCAAAGCACCGGGACAGCGGGGATCTTCTGAGGCAAACTCATTCCCAAACCCAGTCAGATACTGAAGGAAAAAGAGTGAAAGCCATTCAGTGTTGTTCCATTACACCATACATGAGAAAAACAAGGAATTTAGGGACATAAAAGTGCAAATCAGGACTCACATTGAACTGAATGATCTGTAGTTTGAAACAGTGCTTCAGCTGTACTCGGCACAGGTATTAATATTAATTAATATGGTATTAATATTGGCTACATTATGTTTCCTGTGTACTTGTGTACTTCAGTTAATCCATTTTCTTCCGGTCTTTAATACGTCTGTTAACTGGCTGTCAGATAATATGAGATAAATGAAACCTGGTGAGTTTATGTTACTATTTCCTAACGTGTAAGTCTGTGAAAAAAGGCAGATTTTTTTAAACGACGCCTGCAGAAAGAGCTTCATGATGAAGTCCTGTGTTCTAGATTTTCCATTAGCGTTATTACATGTTTCATACGTTAAGGTCTGCACGATTTCCTTCTTTTTTGGGGGGTGTTTGTGAAAAGCTCGCAGCAGAAGTTGTTTGACAGGCAGCCACGTCCCTCGTACCAGAGTGCTGTGAATCTGTGGTTGTTGAGTAAACCAGGCGATAGTGCTGAGTCACTGTTTGCCTGCAAAAGTCCATCTGGATGTAGTTCAGAGGAGGAATGTTTCAGTTTAAAGTTCCATCTGGAGCCGAGTGAACATACCAAGCTCTCTGCTGTATAGTGTGGTTCATATCCTGCCGTGCGCCGAAAATATTTGCCTCTCATTAATATGCATCCAGATTCTTAATTGGCATCTGCTTTTTAAAAATATCTAATCTTTTTTTTTAGTGGGGCATACAATCTGTTCACTCGTTTCACTGACGAACCGACTGGACTGGATACAGCAATGAAGTTTACTCTGCAACCAACAGGCGGCAGTATACCCGGATCGATGCATCCAGAGGCCACACCGAAGAAAATACACAATTAATAAAGCTGATGAGAATTAATTAGTAGAACTTATAATACAATAGTCGAGTAAAGGTCTGTAGCGCAGTCCCCCCTGGTGCTCAACGTATTGAAAATGAGAAATTTAACAATCCTTGGATGAAGTTATTTATGTCAAAAAATAAGAACAAATAATTTAAAATTATTTTTAAAAAATGCATGAAAGACCGTATACCGTTTAAATCATGAAAAATGTTCAAACGGCTTTGTAGGGTTACATAATTGGCGCAATTGGTTCAGTCGGTGTGCATTCCCGCGGTTAGTTGCACTTACTAAAGCGGGTTTTGTATCGCAGCGAGTTTTCAGCAGAATTACAAGCTTTTTAATAAATAATACATTTCTGATTTGTTATCCTACTCCTCAGGTGTTGAACATTGTTACTCCTTGTTTCGATTCGGAAATGTTATGTCTATTTTGCGGTTCTTAACACAAAGAAATCTGTTTAAAATGAAGTATTTCTAAGCCAGCACAGTGATGCGAAGACATCATAATAAAATAGTCTGTTCCCTGTGGCGGTCGCCAGCAGAAACAGGGAGAAGCACCTCACCTGGATGTTTGGTAAGGAAAGGCTTTCAACGGGGCAGATGTCGTTTCAGGCGATCTCATTGGTGCCTGCAGAACGCCCTCGACACTGAGCAAAACTGCACCCAACCCCCCTTCGCACATTTACAGTCTTCAAGGCAAAAAATCGATATTTTTTTTATTTTCGGTGCGTGCACGTTTTTCCCTTCCTCGCAAGAGCCGCAGAGAATGTGTGGTACTGTATAATACTATTTATGCATAACGTGTGATCTATACGAAAAGTGTCCACCGATGTTGACATCAGAATAATCAAACCTACTTATTTTCTATGCAGAAAACATTTGGTGTTACTTGTTAACGATTAGTAAAAAGCCCTAGAATTGCTTCGAAAACCGTACCTTTAAGTCGGCCATTCTCTTCTCTTCGACTCTGCAGTTAAAGTATTTATTTTTGCAGACTAGCTCTGTTAACTTGGAAGTATTGAAGTACTGAAGAAGCCTGTCGGACCGCTCACAGCTGCGAGCACGGAGCGCTCTGTAACTCAGTGAAAGGGTTTCCGAAAGGTTTCTGCAGTTTAAACTCTTGCTCAATGTGGTTTGAATTAAACCTAGAACCCGGCTCTGACGCACCAAGTCTCTCACTGGAGGGAGAGTAATGGGGGGTGTCTGGGTTTCGGCTACAAAGTTGCCTACCCAAAAGAAAACTGCAAGGGTCTGACACCCCTAAACTGTAAAAAAAAAAGAACCTAACGTTGTTTTAAATGGATTTGTACAATAAATACCTGCAAATACATGCATTTAAATGACTCACTGTCTCCGTAGCAGAAATCAAAGTACCAAGGCTGTTGAACTCCAAGAATATTCGTTGTGTTACAGGTGCTGATTATTCATTTGTGTAAATCTGTGCTCTGCGCTTTTTTCCTGTTTTCTATTCTGTTTTGGTGTATAATCATATGGAATATTATCTGGAAACCTTTCCAATTTGTTCACAGAATCAAGTTTTGGTTTTGAATAGTTGCCTACAGTATATATCACAGCTCTATAGCCCAGAGCAAGCACAATAACCATACCTATCAACAGCATCTAGCAAAGTAGCTACAGCAAATAATAAAGTCTGTATGAGTGGCTCCAGGAATCTGATACAGGTCACATTAAGGTACAGGAATCTTTATTTAGGGGTTTTCCTAAGTCATGCACTTCAAAGATTCTCAGAAAACGCCTCTCTCACACTTCTCTATTAACAACTTGCACACAGACTCCCCTGGCTGTTTCCTAACCCACCTTCCCTGTGAAGGCCCTTTACATGGCGAGTCCTCATTAACTGCACCCCTGTGAGGATAAGAATTGTAACCCTTCGCTAGTAATATAAATCACTGATGTATTGACACCCAGTGAACCTATTTACAAGTGATAAAGGCCTATTGATGTCCTCTAGTGGCAGGGCTATTGTTACTGCAGGTTCCAAAAGACTGGCCTGCCACAGTTACTACAGTGCAGTGAACTGACTGACTGACTGACTGACCACACTGCTCGGTCCATATAACGCTTTAGAAAGCGTTAATTCAGCGGCAGTGCAGTTAGATTTTATTAATATTGATATTGAGAACAAATTCCTCTTTAACATTGGCAGCCTATGTCTAAAATGCTCATGTTATTGCTCAGAGGACTAAGCAATGAAAGAAAGAAAAGAGTAATGAATTGAGAACAGCAAAGCAGAGCAGGCAAATATTATCCAGTGCACGTAGAGGGAAGACATTATTCAGCCACACACTGAACGCGCTCTCGGAGATAAAGGTTTAACTGTTATCCTTCGCGAGAGAGTTCGAGGGTCAGCTTGCGTTTGGCGTGAGAGGCCAGTAACAGGTCCAGTCCCTGCACGGCCTGCTCCGTCCGGGACTGGGCTTCTCCTGAATGCAGACCAAAGCAGGCTGAGCTCCAGAGAGGCCACGAATTCAACAAGGACTTCTGGGAAAAGGTGAACAAACCTAGCTTGTACACCAGGAGACCTGGGGCATGGCACTCAGAAAGACCAGCCAAGAGCACCTGACAGGAGCGTTTTCTCCTGCATTTCGCCTTCGGTCACTTAGAATCATTTAGCATTTAAATACTTTTCTGTATTTTAGAACTAGAACAACCTTCTCTTGTAATTCCAATGGTAGGTAATTCCATGGGTCGATCCTTAAAAATGAGTACTTTTGCATTTCTGGAGGTGCTGTGATTAACAGACATATGCACTTACCAAAATCTCCCTCAAGACTTTGAGGTTTTGAAGGCAAGACCGGCCTGGTACCGTATCCCTGCAGCTGTTTGCTTGACCACTTTTTTGATGACACTGGTGTGCTATTCAGAATCCTATAAGTAAAAATGACTCTGCCTGTGACAATCTCCCAGATCACGCTAACTACAGGGTATTGTCTGTATTTCCCATGAGGCAAGTTACTCTCGCAGCACTGAGCACTTAAACTAGGGAGGAGATGGATTGGCAAACACTTGAATCTGCTCTGGGATGTTAGAATCTAAAATAATTCTAATTTAATTGTTCAGCAGCCCGGTTAATCTCATCAAGCCTCCTATAAACACTTGATGACTGATAAATGCATAGGGATAACTGAAGTTTATATACTAATGAAGGAGCAACATAAAAGCATATACTTCTAACAAACACATATTATATTTCTATCACACACATAATCTATAGAAATATATATAAATATAGTATAGGGATATCTAATCATATAAGCTGATTATAATGTATTTCTATACAGGCGTAAAAAAAGAGATTAATTTGGTTTTCATTTGTTTATGCTGAAGGAAGATGAATTCACTATAGATGTCTTGCAATATGTACTAAGAATTTACATAATATCCTGTTATATACAGTACAAAACAACATGCATAGGCTGAGGGAAAAAGGCTGAAATGTAATGTTCCCGGGAGTACCAAAGAGAAATCAATATCCTATGTGGAATTATTTTTTTTAGTAAATGATGGCAATTCTCATAGAGAATCACAGATAAAGTAGAAATGCTTGAAGTAAATATTCTGCAGTCAGGCATGAAGATGGTGTCAGAACTCCTGCTGACAGGTAGTTTAGTGTCTGTGCTCACAATGAGGATGGCTAATGGCAGGAAATGTCCTGACCTCGTCTGGAGAAATTGATCTGCCCTTGGAAAGGGACTGATTTTAATTTCTTCTCCAGATTCGTTTCCAGAACCGGAGCGTGGAACAGTATAGTCAGATTCTGCTAGCAGCAACTCCAGCCTTGGGTCACCAGCTTCAGTTGTTATTGCACTGTAAAAAATCACAGGCTCTAATCGCAAGCAGGAATATATAGCTGAATTTCTATGCAAGAAATGTTTCGAAACCATCAGTCAGCAGAGCCGATGATGGTGTGATTGAGAGCAATGTGCATACAGCACTTGCATATAGTAAACACAAAATAGAAGTTAAAATGTAATCGACAAGTGAAGGTTCGTATTTCATGGTTTCCTTCTGGTTAATATTAACAGCCGGATTAGATGTGTCTCTGTCTTCCCTGTTTGCAGATTCTTTTTTGAAAAGGGGCACAGTGCCAGTTGGTCTCCATTTCCTTGACACGCAGGGAATTTAGGGCTGCAGCTTTCCCGAGGTGTGTAAGAACACAATCTCCTGCTCACACCGGACTCAACGACTGAGCTAAAGGACGTCCCTGGAAATAGTTATACAAAGCCTGATTGTGCCAGTAAAAACCTCGGAAGTCCTATGGATTAACCTCCACGATACTGCTGTATTAATCTCTGAGATGATGACTTTGTCTGCAAACCTGTCCGTCTTCGCACTTTCTGAATTGCTCCTGTAAGACAGCACAAGAAAGCCTCCCTTAGCTACACTGCATGCCTCAATACAATGAGAAGACTTTCACAAATAACAATATCTGTAATGACACTAACAGAACTCATAAAACACAAAAATATTCAAATGCTGTTTTTGAATTATAATAGCTTGTAATACTCTGTTTTAGTTGTCTCTGATGTATGATGGCAAATTATGCAAAAACGTGCTAATATGTTAAGAATGTCAGCTTCTGAGTGTATTTATGGTTTAAGCTAACAAAAGTCTCCTTCTCACTTAAATGCTATGAGCCTTATTTATAGTCATTAAATAGCAACCTTCTCTGACAATTTCCCTCTGTCATCTCTGGCCATTAAAGAACTGTACACACATTTAAAAGACTGCAGGATAACATTTTATTATTATTTTTTTTTAGACAACAGAATCTCAGAGAACAGAAAATTACACCATCCTCCCACAGAGAAAATTGCCTCAGAATTGCTTGGTTATGAGATGTGCTTTAAACACCATTTGAAAATAAAAAAACAAACATAATTACTTTTGGTGGAAAACCCTTCGTTCTGCGATCCCACTTCCTTCAGACTTCATCCTCTGGGTTAAACTGAGAGAGAGGTAGCAGAGAGCAGAGTAATCAGCTTCGTTACCCCAAACAAGACTGTGCACCTTGTGGTTTCCTGTGCGTTATGCTAATGAGGGTGATTATTAGCTCTCCTGCAGTCTCTCCAGTGAAGGCAGGGTGACCAATTAGAGTGAATTGTGTGGAGTTCTGCTTGGCTACTGTAGGTAATGAGTGCAAAATAAAAGTAAACAAGTTCCTCCAAAGGTAAGCGTGGCCTTGATTCACTGAGTGATAGCCCATTCATTACAGTTTAGGAAGGTCACCTACTTATCATCTAGAGATAATGAGCTTGGAGCCACTGTTTTGAGTGTCTCAGGCTCGGGAATGCTTTGGGAGCCACTGGAATCTCTGTGGCTCGGCGTTGCAGGTTCTCCGCACTAATAAGGGCATGAAGGAGTCATAATGTCTTCTGCCCACACAGTCTCCCCGAGCACATTTCTGACTTTTCAAGAAAAACTGTAGCGGGACAGCGATTTTCGGGCTTTTCTGCATCCACCTCTCCGTGTCTTCCATTTCCCGCCCCAGAGAAAATAAAAACTTCAAGCCAGTTTCCTCGCACGCCATTGAGGGAGACGGCTGGATTCTGGTGCTGTTCTGGGGTGTGCTGAGGGAGGCCGGCAGCTGGACTAAGGGGGTCGAGCTCTGTTCCAGTCTGGGCGTGCACAGGGAGGAGGCTTTGGGAAATTAGCAGGTAGGCTACAAAGTTGCTCAGTAACAAATAAGAGGAGGCCACTTGGCCCATATAGCCAATTTGCTCGTTAATAGCTCATCCAATTATCTCATCCAGCCATTTCTTGCAGGAAGTCAGGGGAAAGTTATGACAATGAGGCCGGGCAGCTTGTTCCACGCACCCACACCTCTTTGTGCAAAGCAGTGCCTCCTCCCCCTCTTGGTTTCCAGTGCTGTCTTCTGTAGATTCCACGTGTGCCCTCTGGGTCGTGTTCTGCCGCTTCTCGAGGAGGGCAATGGGCTGACTCTGTTGACGCCTCTGTTCCCTGTTCAAGAAGAAAGCAGGTGCACTTCTTGCAGCCTGACAGAACTGAATATCTGTAGCTCCTAATTGCTAAACGAGCAGAGAGCATATTCTTCAAAACATTTCAAAAATTGATTTTACTTTCAATAGGT